TTTTTTCAAAAGCAAATGTGTACTCAGTTAGGCAAACCAGCTAATTTTAAAAATAGTAGGTAAATTGATTTTTTTTAAATGCAATTTCTTTCAATTTGTCAGGAGAGGGTCAAAGAAAAAGTTGTAAATAGGTCAAGATTGTGGGGCTTGACAGTAGTCTGATCCACAAAGGGGGGCGCTATCGGTGTCATATTGAGTGCAAGACCGGAAGAGACAACGCCATCTATAAAACACACGTCTGTTTCCTCCGGTCTAGATCCTTGGTTTTTGCTCAGTATTGCCTGAAGCAGACGTTAGTCTTAAAATTAATCTAAGCAGTTTCTTGCTGACTGAGCAACAACGGTGAAACTTTTCTATAGGAAGCCATCTGTGTTTAAGCTACTTAAAGTTTAAGTGCTGGTCAATAGAGAGGCAGTGTATGTGACAGTAAATATACAATCAATGACAGCAGACACAGAGGAGCCCCAGAGATTCACACACAGACCTCGGTACTCATGCAGAACCAAATTCCCTCGTGAAGGCTGGAGATTGGGAACTTATCTGCATCCCACAGGATAAGCATGCAGAACCAAATTCCCTCGTGAAGGATGGAGATTGGGAATTTATCTGCATCCCACAGTATAAGAAGATTTTTTTCTTCTTTTACATCTACATCAGCAGCTCTCGTGACCAATATTGTCAATATGAAATCAAAACAGATATTGACTGGAAAGGAAATGTATAACTGAGCAAGTCTGCTGGAACAAAGGCTACAGCATGGATTACATACATCTGAGTGTTAGCTAACATTTTACAATCTAGCCAGGGGTCAATCAGTGTGACCTGGACATTACGCCACATTATCATGGACCTTTTGCCCCTGTGTGTCAAAACTTTAACTATCAGGTATATTCTAGTCTTATTTGCTGTAGTTTTGGCTGCTGGCTGTTCCTGTTATAATCCCTGGAGAGGCAATGGCCCCTTAGGAATTATAACTGAAGACATAAATCTTTCAGCTACCAAATCTGGAGTTTGTCACTTTCTGTCTCTCCCCAATCTCCCAGTCATGCTCCAGACTGGTAATTCCCAAAGTGGGGGGCAGGCTCCTGCATCGGGCCAGGAGCTATTGCAGAGGTGCAGCAGAGCAAATTAATTTCTATTTCAATCATTTCTATTGGTTCCACAGTGGAAAAAAAAATCACTGACTTGTAATTTAATTTTCCTTGCTGAATCTGATTTTTTTTTTTAAATTAAGTGTAATTTGAAGAATAACCACATATTCTAAATTTAAACTCTAGATCTTGTAGTCTTGCCCTGAAGATGTCATGTTACCATGGTAAAAACAAGCACATGAATTGGTACAAAATTACATTTACCTCCTAAAAATGTTGGAAAATCAGTAAACACACGACTGACGACATCTCTCCTCTCAACTGGCTACTTTGTGGAGCCAAAATACAATAAGCTCAATATTAAAGAACTTTGTTAAGCCATTTAAACTCCCTGTTGTTTTTGTCTGGTCTTAAGAGGATGTCGAAGAATAAAATAAGCCTGGTCTTAAATGAAGTGACTGGAAGGGTTTCCAATCCTGGTGAGCAGTTAATGCCCACAGAAAGCACTGCTCACCCCCGAGATGTTTACATCAGTCCAACAGCACTTCTTTAGGGCTTCCGGTTAGAAAGACACGACGGGTGGTAATAAAGCACAGCTGGTGTCCATGTTAATACAGCTCCCCTCTGCTGTGATGAGTGGATGTTGGATAAACCAGTCAGTCAACGCTCCTGACTGTGCTTTTAGAATTTGTCAAAACCAAAGGGTAAAAAATCCTGAAATCTGAACATTTTTCTAGCTGTAACCAACTCAGCAAATGGATAGAGGATTTTTTTTTAATATACTCTCACACACACACATATATATATACACACACACACACATACATATATATATATATATATATATACATATATATGTATATATATATATATATATATATATATATGTATATACAATGGGGGAAATAAGTATTGAACGCATTAACTTTTTTGTCATTACATTTATTTCCAAAGATGCAATTCATGTGACATTTCTTCCAGACACTGGTATTAACTCAAATAATCCACACATTAAAAGAAATCACAACATTCAAGTCCATATATAATGAATATGTGGAATTAAGTCCAAGAACACAGGAAAAAAGTATTGAACACACTATCTGAGACTCGTTTAATACTTTGTGGAGAAGCCTTTGTTTGCAATGACAGCTTCCAGAAGCTTCTTGTATGTATTAACTAATCGCCCACACTGCTCAGGTGTGATTTTTGCCCATTCCTCCGTACAGATTGTCTTTAAATCTTGAATATTCTTTGGTGCCCTCTGGTGAACCCTTTTCTTTAGTTCTTTCCACAAATGTTCAATCGGATTTAAGTCAGGTGATTGACTGGGCCATTCTAACACATTGATTTTCTTTTTTTTAAACCATTCGAGAGTCAACTTTGCCGTGTGCTTCGGATCGTTGTCCTGTTGAAAGGTCCAGCCATGTCTCATCTTCATCATCCTGGTGGATGGCAGCAGGTTCTATATATATATATACATATATATATATACATATATATACATATATATATATATATATATATATATATATAATGACAAGAAGGCTGACTGAGCAACAGAGTGAGACACAGGACACACCACAGATGATTGATGAACGTGTCTGTTTCAAGTGCTGCTTAACTCAACACCAAGGACGGCATTTTTTATGACTGATCAGCGAAAGTCAAAGTGAAACTCCAAAGCAAGAACCCATCTGTGGGACGTAAAAATGTAAATCTGCAGCAATTTGCAAGCAGCATCATATTTTATTGATCTGTTACAACTCGTTTTTCACTTCTGAAGAAACATGGATTAAAATGATACTGTCATTTATACTTAAAAACTCCGTAACAAACATTAGTGAAACCAAATAAACGTTATACATGTATCAGTTACTAGACATTTCAGGTGCATCAGTGGTTTAAATGACCACAGATTTTTCCTCATTCTTAATTTTGAGCCTAAAAATGTGTCTAATTTAACAAATATGTTGTATTATCTTACTGTCGACTACTGCCTCTGTACTACAGAGATGTGTTATTTATCTTAAAAATACAGTAAGAACATAAATGACTACATTCTTTTGATTTAACAATAACACTGACACTGCTTTGGCACTAATTGTGTGTTTCTTTCAAACACATTTAAGTACCAGGTTGTTTGGGAAAAATCACTTAAAATGTGGAATAAATTGCTATTTAATCCATTTCTTCAGACCTGGAAAAATTCGCTATTCTGCTCTTGCTTTGGGTACATTATTCATTCTACATGACACTTATTACGTTGATTTATTTTTACCTTGATGTGTTTTAAAAGTTTCAACTTTAAATCAAATCCAAGTTCTTGTATTTCAGGACATTTCAGAGATAAATTAGCACAAAAACTCAACCATGTTTCTGTCTGCACTGGTCAGGATCAGATGGCTGTGCACTTTCCCCAAGTAATTCGTTTCTGAGCACATGTTCAACAGCTCTGTCCAAAAGCCATCACCATCACCATCACCCCCTAATTATTATCACATTATAGTTGGTGTGATCAGTGTAGCCAGTCACAAAAAGCGGTAATATTGTTGGGGGGATAAAAAACTCCTCTGTGAGTAATGTGCTTCCCTTTTGGCTAAACGATGCCCACTTACTCTTAGAGCATCATTTACATTAGCGCTGGTTCAGGGCCATTGCACAGGACCCATGAAATGGGTCATTAGAGAAAATATTCACGTTCATGTCTGTTCATGTTGAGACGTACAAATGTAGCAGCACGAGTCAAATTGCTTACAATGTGTGTAATGTGCAAATACTGCCACTGGGGGGCCTGTGCGGCACTTGTGGTGTCCTACAGCGCCGGGTGTGTTGATGTATTTAAGGGATTGCTGCTTAAGGGCAATGTGGCGGAAAAGGGTTTGAGAGGAAGGTTGCTGCTGCTGCAGCAGCAGGGTAATACTGCCCCCATCTGGCACATGGGGGATTTCACTCAATCTCACACAGTGCGGCAGCTGATGCCATCTGTGCATCTCGCTTCAGATTCACCATTAGTGTATGAAGGGGGAGCTTGAGTAAGTAATAGATTACAGCAAAGTGCTGACAATTTACTTTTTCTACCCATACTGTGAAACCTAGTACGCAGCTGTAGACAAAATAGTGGAAGGGAAAGTAATGGATATCTGTGTCTTCACCTGCAACACCTGTGAGATTTTTACCTCAAATATCCTTTTTAAGCACAATGAAGAGTATTATTTACACATTCCAGAGACATTTAAATACAGACAAAAGTTTTAAATTACTTTTTACACATTCCTATACCGTACATAGGGGGCAGCACCTTTCACTGAGCATAAAAAAAGTTTATTTTAACAAACAGCAACAGAGCACAGAACTTGTATGATTAAAAAAAATCTTACTTGTTTCCTCTAATTCCTTCCCTGCGGACTGTGGCGAGGCCTTCGTTTACCAAGGACTCTGCGATGTTTTCGCCGGTTGTGTCTGAAACAAATGCACAGAGAAGATTATTATTTTCACCTTGCATCAATTGTTTTGTTTTCTTTTTTTTCATTACACTGCAGTTAGAAATACACCAGGTCAGCTGGAGTAAATCAGTTTGTTTTTATATAAACAATTTGCAGCTACATCTTTCTGCAGTGAATGAGCACGCAGATAACAACCTATTAAAATGGAAGGTCAGGCTTTTTTTTTTAAGCACAGAATGAACTCATTACTATTTAAACTATTTTAATGTGAACTCACTATAAGCACGTTTGGAAAAGTTTATTAATGCCATGTCAAATGGATTAATTGTAGTTTAATAAAAACACAGGAGTTTTAAGAGAGTCCAACCGATCCTGCTTCTCATTTAAATGTTCTCTCAGTCATAGGATTTCTTTGCCATTCATATTTATAACTTGTCAGAATTCAAAATTACTTTTTTATTTAACATTATGAAACTCTTTCCGTTTAACCCACTAAGGTGCCACTTTAGTTACTTTAAAAAAACTCTCAGCTATGGGAAGTCCCTGATCTTTTCTCTGAACAGAGTCTAATGAAATGCAAAATTGAAAGACAAATGTTAACAGTATAATACACCACAATGCTCATATTCTGGAATGCAGTTTCTAAAGATATATTTTTCCTATTCAATTATATATCACATGAGCCTAATTTATCACAAGTAAGTAAGAAAAGCAGAATATCATCAGCATAGAAATTATATGAAACAACACTATACTAAAAGGTTTGACAAGAAAAACAAGAAAAATAAACACTGATGGTGTCTGGGACCTTTAGTACCTCCCTGGACACAGTTCATGGTGTTTATCAGTGACAGTGGACTTACCTTTGCCCAGGTAGACTATGCCATACTCTCTGCCTGAAGGGGTCCTGATTTCCACAGTGAAGCACACTTCTTTGCCGATGAGTTTCTTACGCAGGAACTCTCTGGCTTGAAAAGCCCACGGCTGCAAAGCAGAGGGATATTTATGCTCAATTTCTAAAAAGTCAACCTGATTAGTAGTTAAAGTAGCAGCTAATTTTGACAAATCATCTGCGGACGAATTAAACAACTACTACCACATAGCACTGCAATTACGGACGGACTCCATTTCAAGTAGCGGACCTCTCTAAATGTTGAGATTTCTGTTGCTTTTTTTGCAGCAGTCAGACACAGTTATCAGATAAGTAAATTGTACTGAAGCAAAAACAGTTTGTACTAAATGGAGTAATTAAAGAGTGTGATGATCCTGTTAGAAAAAAAAAACCTGCAGTGCTTTTTCATTATGATCCTATCTTTGCCACAGCAATTAACTTTGATCTGTTGCTGGTATTATTTTTATCTAATATTAAAGAGAAACCTAATTGGAAATTTGTTTAATAAAATAAACACCAGGTTTCCATAACCTAGGTCAGTTTTTAGTAGAATAACACCTTTGAAGAGATAGACACTTTCAATATTAACAGTTCAGTCTGCAATCTGTAAATAATTAGTACTGTAATTTAGATACATAAATAAAATAAATAAATAAATACATTTTTTGATGTGGCCCCAATACCAATGTATACATACTACTATATGAAATCTTAACAGACAAGAGAAGACACAGGTCATGTGACAAAAACTCCACTTCAGTGACAACAGTAAAAACAAATATTATCACAACAGAGTGTGTGTGTGTGTGTGTAATGCATGGCTACAGTACTAAGGAGGACCTTGTTCTGCCTTTGACAAACACACAAACATACCAACACAAAGAAAAGGGTCTTACCTCATCAGGGGTGTCCTTGGTGTCAGGCTGGGCCTGGGCAGCCCGACGTGCCATGGCTCCCGCTCTGATATTGCTGAGATTGATCTGACGTTCCGGGGGTGGGCCACCTCTGGGCTGGCCTCGCACTATGATGGCACAGCCTGAAAGGACCTGGAGAGAAACAACAAAAAGCATCAGAAGGAGAACAAAAAAAAAAGCTTTCATACAGAGCATCAGTTACGTCAGCAACTGCTGGACTTTGCCAGTAACATTTTTAGACAGTTTACAAACAGACACTCCCAGGGTACAAGCACTATTTAAGCACTTTCAAGGTCCATTTTAACTTCTCCAGCACCTTGAAGCTTTAGCTATACAAAGTCAGAGACGGAGGCCGATTCTGGGACACTGGGACAATTCACAGCTGAAGACTCAAGACTTGACCTCAGACTCATCCTCAAAAGACTTGAAACTTGACTCGGACTTAAGGTTTGAGACTCTCTCATGAATCTCCATGAAAATCAATGACACTACAATAAATTACACTTCACATTTCTTACAGCAATAGGATGCCAATAGAATGAGTTCAATGAGCGAAGACTAATTTCAATCATTTGAAACTTGACTTGGACCTGGTGCAGAATACTTGACTTCTGGTATTGCTCCTCAAAGACTTGTGACTTGGACCGAGGGATGAAGACTTGACCTGGTATTACTCCCTCAAAGACTTGACTTGGACTTTTTTTTTTACAGGATCTCAAAAAACATTGACTATTGAGCTGGCTAACCTTCTTTAGGCTAACCTCTTTTTCAGCAAATTAGACTAGTCTTAGTAAACATTTAAAAGTAAGCCCATGGTTACTAGCTGAGATTGAACAGAATACAAAATCTGAATGGGGATTTTTTTTAAACATTTTCAAAACTCAATGCAAAAATAAATAAATAAATTGTGCCTTACTCTGCAGGAAGTATTCATATACAGTAAGTTGACTATACAATCAAGGTTGCGCAACAGCCGACAGGTATGGTTGGGTTACCTCGTCTTGGCTTTGACAACCGTGGCATTTATGTGAATCTGAGCAAACACCTTTTATCTGTGGACTCTCCAGTGGGTCAGAAGGGAGCATCACCACCCGCTGTTGATCTAAGATGTGAGGCCTGATAAAGTCTAGCTTCAGATTAGCACCGTTACCTGCTTTGCCTGAGACAGTTCCCCTCAGGGACAGGCCAGGCTGATGGGGTTGATGAAGATTTTTTAAATATGGACTTGTCAGGAAGACAAAACAAATAAGATTAAGAAGTTTAATTTGATTACAAAATGACCACAAATTTGACAACACAGGTTTGTCAGAATGTCATTCTCTTTTCAAAGGCTGATTGAGTTAAGGTGCCAATGTTGAATGTAGCAGATTAAGGAAATTTAGATATACTGATCAGAAAGAAAAAAAAACTTGAGCAATAAGAAAGTCTGCTTTGAGACGATTCAGAAAGAATAAAAAAGTAAGTGTATCGTAATTATGACAATTAGTCCGTTTGAAAAACATCAGTCTCTGGAGAGAAACCTTCACCTGCATATACACCACCAGGGGAGAAAAACCTATGCTAACCTGTTTACATCAGTTGCAAATGTTCTTAAAATAGAACTCCCTCACCTACACTGAGTACATCTGATAATTCACAATTTCAAGTAATGTTGATGTCTGCTTCGCAATCTGTATGTGGTGATGAATCATTTCTGTTCACTTAAGGAAGATTATGACGCTTATGTTGTGTGTCAGAAGTGTTTTGTTTTGGGGGGGTTTACACACAGACTGTAAATAAACAATGGGGATTGCTTAGTGGCTCTAACAAGGTATTGTGAAGTCTCATCATATAAATAAAGTTTTGGGGAAATGTCTGACTAAAAAAAACTACTACTAGGATTAACTACACCTAGCAGTGTTAGCTTTTACTTAAACATTACTTTAAATCTATAAATAAACTGTTAGAGTTTAGATATTAAGACATGTAAATATATTGTAAATTGTGGGAGGAGTAGCATGTTTTATTTAAATATATAAATATAAAATATAAATTTTATTTAAATATATAAAGCATTTCATGCTTTTAAGGTTTCATAACAGACTATGCTTACTTCTAATAAAGTTTTGACACTGGAAGAAAAGTGCAAACAAGATGAAAACCTAGTTTCCTTGAAAGCTAAATTCCATTTAAATGTATGGGCTTGGTCAAGTCTACGAGGGAGAAAGTGAACTATAGGCTAGACACAACCAAAGTGAATAGAAGATTATAGGGGAGCACTGGAGCTTTAGCTACGTGTCAGTTTCCTGTGGTTGCTCTAACCCTAACACACAGCAGTTTCCTGTGGTTGCTCTAACCCTAACCCTAACACACAGTGGGGAAATGCCTAGGTTAAAACGTCTTGAAGCACTTACTTTTTTACTTAAGTTTCAAGCACTTCAAAGTCCGCACTTTGATTAGTTCAAGGTAGAACA